ACCCGGGAGGTGAAGGTTGCAAGGAACCGAAATCACGCCACTTGCACTTCAACCTGGTGACACAGTAAGACTCTGGAAAAAAAAAAAAAAAAAACACTACCTGGCACAAAGAGCGCACAAAAATAGGTTTTGAGAACTTATTTTGAGCAAGGCGCTCAGCTGTTGCCCTGGGTTTACTGCAGTGCAGAGGTACTACCTCAGCCCTTGGGGGGTTCATACTTTAAAAGGGAAAAGCAGCAATTAAAGGACAAATTACACTCTGTTTAAACAGCCATTGTGATAAATGCTCTCAATAAAAGTTTAGGTTACAAAATGTTGAGAAAAACAAGCATAATCTCATGACTTAACTTTGCAAATTCATTGAGATAATATAAGCAAACTCCTGCTGACATTTCCGTGAAAATTAAGTGTTATCACAATTATTAATCTTATTATTGTAAAATAGATCATTTAGAACACTGTATTTAACCACTTTGGTTGTGCCACTTTAGACAAGTTTCTTAATCTCTCAACCACTTCACTTCCTTAAATCTCACAACAGAAATCCCTTCCTCAAAGGCTAGGTTTAGCACAATGGTTGTCATGTGGTACATTTCTGATCAGGCATTTATTTATGCTACTATTGCAAAACAGATTCAAGGTTATCTACACAACTATACTATAAGATAAAGTGAAAAATGTTAATAGATTTAAATCAAGATAAAGAGAACACAGAGGAAGAAAAGTAAGGTGAGACAAAATAATGCACACTGTAAATCACACTCCGCCTCCTGTCTTCGAGAGCATGGATTATAAAGGGAGATGACCCCTTCCAGGAGATTAGAGAAGACTTCTCCCAGGAAGTGATGTTTAAACTGAAAACTAAAGGCTTAGTTGGACAAAAATGTGACTCCAGCATTCCAAGAAGATCAAAGAGCAGAGCACTTTCAGACACCTGAGAGAAGTCCTGAGCAGCTTGTGTACAGACAGCTCAAGAGAGTGTTGATGAGGGTGGGGGCTGAGGTGGACAGGAAGGCAGGGACAGACCAGTGACTCACAGGCTCAGAGGTTATGGCTAGTAGTACAGAGGGCTGACTGCACCCTAGCAGCAATGTGAAGCCACTGGGAATTCTAAGCAGGAAGGAACGACATGATGAGATTACTTTTAAGAGTACACTGGCTTTATGTAAAGAATGAGTCAGAGTGAAGGAAGAGATGATGCAAAAACATAAATTAGGCCATTGTGCAGATGAAGGCCATCCAGACATGGCTTAGCGACTATGTGGCAGTGGGGAGGAATGGTGCAGAGAAACTGGGGAACAGCTAGAAGAAAGAAAATTTGGGCCCAGACTGCCCCTGGGAACCTGGAGGGCAGGAGGTGTCAAGATGTCTGAGCTGCTTATTTACCAAAAGAAGCTCTTTACAGGGAAAGGCAATAATAAAGCAAAACAGGGCAAGGCCAGTGGCTCCCACCTGTAATCCCAACATTTTGGGAGGCAGAGGTGGGCGAATCACTTGCAGTCAGGAGTTCCAGACCAGCCTGGCCAACATGATGAAACTCCGTCCGTCTCTACTAAAAATACAAAAATTAGCCAAGTGTGGCGGTACATGACTATAGTCCCAGCTACTTCAGGAGGCTGAGGCAAGAGAATCACTTGAACCTGGGAGGCAGAGGCTGCAGTGAGCCGAGATCACACCACTGCACTCCAGCCTGGGTGACAGAGCAAGACTTCATCTCAAAAAAAAAAAAGAAAAAATGTTGGGGTCCGCGCGTTTCCTAAACAAAGGAATGAACACACAAGACAACACAAGACAAGACAAACATGGCGGCCGCCTCGAATGGCCCGCTCTGCTTTATTTTATACAGTCATTTGTGGAATGTTGCCAAGTCACAAGACACATTGTTGTTTTTCTGACCTTTCCCTGACTTTCTGGATTTTCAAGATGTTTACACATAAACAAGCCCCCAACGCCCTGCTTCGTTTGCAAGAGCAGGACTTATCGGGAACGCCCTGCTTCGTTTGCAAGAGCAGGACTTACTGGGAACACCCTGCTTCGTTTGCAAGAGCAGGACTTATCGGGAACACCCTGTTTCTGAGCACGCAGTCCTCTACAAAAAAAGAAAAATTAGAAATAAACTGGAATAGGAAACGGCACCTTGTAGCTTTTGAGAGTTCTCTGGGAAGCATAGAGCATTTATTCTGCTCTTGATGAGCCTTGTGAAAACCTGAGGCAACTGCTGCTAGTTTTAACCAGTAAGCAAGGCCTGGATGACCAAATAATAACGAGGAGAATTTTGGGAGGAAGTGATCTCTCCAGAGACAGTCAACATGGGATAAATGAATACAGGCTGAGTAAGTCCTTGACGGGGGCTTCCAAAATGTTGCCACACTGATGGCATTCAAATCTCCTGGAGTCACTGTTAAGAACCCAGATTCAGGCCGGTTGCGGTGGCTCACACCTGTAATCCCAGCACTTTGGGAGGCCCAGGTGCGCGGATCATCTGAGGTCCGGGGATCGAGACCAGCTTGACCAACATGGAGAAACCCCATCTCTACTAAAAATACAAAATTAGCTGGGCTTGGTGGCGCATGACTGTAATCCCAGCTACTCGGGAGGCTGAGGCAGGAGAATCACTTGAACCACGAGGTGAAGGTTGCAGTGAGCCAAGATGGTGCCATTGCACTCCAGCCTGGGCAACAAGAGCGAAACTCCATCTGAAAAAAAAAAAAAAAAAAGGAGTTTCACAGATTCTATCTTAGACTCACTGAATCAGAATATTCTCAAGGTCTGGCTGACCTCCACAACTTAATTCACTGTTATCTTTTCTCTGCCCTATGCAGTGAATTCCCTCTCTGAACATGATCGTGACCTCTGAGACCCTACATGATCTATGTGCATCATGTAGGGTCTACGTGTATCTAACCCCCTCATCTCCTATCAAGTTCTCCCTTGTTTACTGATCTTCAGCTGCACTATTCTCCTCCATCGTTCCTTGAACGTGCCAATGGCATTCCGGCCAAGCCTTTTGTAATTACTGTTCCCTCGGCCTGAAATTCTCTTTTCCCTGATAGCCTCACAGCTCACTCACTCACTCACTTCCTTCAAGTCTCTGTTCAGATGCCTCCTTATCAGGAAGGCCTCCTTGGTCACCCTTTATTATAAAGCAATCTCCTCCCCTTTGTTCTCCATTCTCTTGCTCTTTTTCTTCATGGCATGTATCACTACCTCACATTTTATATATCTGGTTGAGTTTATTCTTTATCATTCCCCACTAAAATGTAAACTCCATGAGAGCAGAAGCTTTTTCCGTTGTGTGGAGTGCTATCCCTGCACCCACTATGCATGGTTCAGGTCTAGTTAAGAAATAAGGCCTGGCGCGGTGGCTCACGTCTGTAATCTCCGCACTTTGGAAGGCGGAAGAGGGCGGATCACTCGAGGTCAGGAGTTCAAGACCAGCCTGGCCAACATGGTGAAACCTCTTCTCTGGTAAAAATACAAAAATTAGCTGGACGTGGTCACGGCGGGCGCCTGTAATTCCAGCTATTTGGGACGCTGAGGCAGTAGAATCACTTCAACCTGGGAGGCAGAGGTTGCAGTGAGCTGAGATCATGCCACTGCACTCCAGCCTGGGCAACAGAGCAACACTCTGTCTCAAAAACAAAAAAAAGAATAAGACTAGGTATGTCAACTAGGCACAACACAGTAACTCAGAGATAACAACTACTGGGAAGTAGCTACCACCTTGCGGGGCTGGAAGAAGGAAAAGGAAGAGGTTGAGACCACTGAGGAAAGGCACCCTGGAGTGCTAAAGAGCACGCGCTGCAGCTGGACTGGTACTTATTTATGTAAGGGGCAGTGAGACATTCGGAATGCATGAAGAGAACAAATAGAGATGGGACTCAACTGCCATTGTTGGAGTGACCTGACAGGAAGAACAAAATTTAGAAAGTAGCCCTTGCTTCTCTCCTCTTGCTTTCTAGTCTCTTTCTGGTTCCTCTTACTGACAGAACACAAGAAGAAGCCAGTGGGCAAAGGAGTTTGGGAAATGTCATTTGCAGGTACCCAGCCCCAATGTCACAAAGTATATGAGGGTGATTTTAAAGCTGAGAGGGAATGGATTAATAGGAACACAGCTTTGAACAAAGTAGGACTCAAGAGCAGCACATTAATTATCAGTCTTGTTCGTTACTATTTGAGTTAGGGGCTCATCTTGACTGTAAATATCAGCTTGTCTTCTTCACTTCTTGTTTCTCTTTTTACCTTTTCCTGCATCTGGTAGTTTGGATGACTTAGATCTAGTCAACAGGACTGGAAGCAAGAGAAAAGGTCCAATGCAATGAGACTGAGGGGGTAGTTTTTTGTTAGCTTTTTGTTTCGTTTCTTTTTTCATATGGAATGTTATTGGTGGCAACCTGGTGGTAAGCCGTTCCAGAAGAATGGTAAAAGATAACCAAGTCAGTAATTGATAATTAGCTTCTATACCTTCCACACCCCTAGTACAACCCTCCACCCACTCTTTCTTCTCTTAGTACTCTAAAACTGGTAAGTTTCTTGACTCTGGTGTTTTTAAAACAAAGACAAACGCCAAGCATATCTGAAAAACATTTGAAAATGCTACCAGCTCTATCTCCAATTGGTATGCAGGGAGGGAGGGGAGATGAGAAGAATTTTGGAGAATTAAATTCTTAATGAAAATCACTGTTTTGTAACGGAACATGGTTCTATTAAGCAGCAATTAACCGTTCTGTTCCATCAAAGCAATTTCCTTAGATTTTTTCTTTTTTCCTTACCAGACATATTGTACTCTTTTCTACAGAGAAAGCGGAGTAAGAACAAGGATTTGCCAACTTCCTTCGTTGTCTTACTCATTTTGGGTCAAGAGGAAGAAAAATGGCAAAACAGATGCGTTGCCCCCTCTGAGGTTCGAACTCAGGACCTTCAGATTATGAGACTGACGCGCTGCCTACTGCGCTAAGGAGGCAACTGTCTTTATGGTTTAAGCAAGGACTCTACCAACGTGATTATGAGGACTATTAATAAGGTTTTAAGTTATCCGAACTATAGTGTTTCAAAATAAGATGGAAATATGATTTAATTCACTTCTAAAACACTTTGGATGACAAAACTACGTAGTACAAGGCAGGGGCCAACTCCTAAACCAACCTCGTTCTCCCACAGCCCTTCCTAAAGAGACTTCAAGGGCTGCGAAGGCAGTTGAGTCCAGACTTTGCAAAAGTCCTTCCCGTACGGGGCCCTGGATTTCTCATCTCATTTCTGGGCCAGGAACGAGCAGTCTTTCCCTCTATGATTAGGGCTTTCGCAGATGTATCGCCTCTGAAACGAAGACAAGACAAATAATAATGAGCGCACTCTTTGCCTCCCTTGTGAAGTTCCGTGGAGACACTCGGTCCCCTGAAATGGACGAAGGGCAAGGGGAGGAGGTCTCAGGATTTTTCCACGCTTTTCTTGGAAGCAACAGGCTCAAACCAAACGGTTGGACTTGCTTATTCCTGAAGTCTAGAGGCTTACTTCCTGGAGTCCAAGCGGATGTGGAGCCCGTGGCGTCCTCTGGCGCTCTCGGTCTCTTCGACCCCTTTTCATTGTGTTGATGACAAATGGGGCAAGATTGCCTTCCTGCACCACCTGCAGCATCCTGTCCGGGATCCACCTGGGAGCTGAAAGGAAGCAAAGTGTCGGGGATCGGGGGTTCTCGGGCTGTGCTGAGAAGCGAGGAATGCTGAAGAAGGGGCCCGAGGGAAGGATTTATAGCGATGTGGGAATGGGAATGAAAAGACTGGAAAGGGGCGATAGTCACTTGGGTGAAAGTGCAAGCGGTGACAAAGCCTGCGGGCGGTAGCGTGGCCGAGCGGTCTAAGGCGCTGGATTAAGGCTCCAGTCTCTTCGGGGGCGTGGGTTCGAATCCCACCGCTGCCAGAGTGAGTTTCTTTTCTGACCCAGGAGAGGTCCATTTTCAAGCCTTGTGTGGGCAGTTCTCACTGCCTCCTAAGTGAGGCAGGTCCCTCTTCTGTTTCCCAAGGGGCCACCGATAACACCCATATGTACAGTCGCCCAAACAGTGCCCAACTGTTTCTAGATTTAGGAGCTCAGAAATCTCTTACCCTTGTTACTCCCTTCAGTGGCCTTCATGTGTTTTCATTCACTTTGCAAGATTTGTGAACCAATCATGGGCAATTCTAAGGAAAAAGTACAACCTTCTTAACTCCAGACTCAAGAATAAATAAGCCACGCACGCTCATCTGCCCTATTTTCCATTGTCTTCTCCAAGGATAAATGTGCTAAGGCTGAAAAAGCAAACGAACCAGCAAACGAAACAGTCACCAGACACCTGGAGCCTTTCCCCCTTCACCTATCCTCAGAGAGCAGTTCAAGGCCCTTAGTTGAACACAGTTGAAGAGTTAGCTTTTGAGATTCTGATATTATCTTAAACAGTAACCATTTTTTATTTTCTTTTTCCTTTTTCCTTTTTCTTTTTTTCTAAGAAATAAGGTGGAGGCTCATAGAATAAAAAGAATGACACCTGTTTTAGGGAAGAAGGACTTGATCCGTTATTTACCTGGATCTGGAGCAGTTTAGACCATCTTTTAAGGCTAGGAGACTCGAGGAAATAGAATGGAGAGTTTGTGTGTGCAGGGAGGTGGGTAGATGCTTAGGAGCACTTTACAGTCGTCTAGCCAGAAGTCTTTTAATTTCACTGCTTCCTTCCTCACCTTCCAAAAGATGTATCCAATACCTACATACTAATTGAGCAGATATTTTGTAACAGGTACCTTGCTTGGTTGGAGATACAACGAAAGGATGAATACCAGCAAATGATTCCAGGGTTTCTTAGCAATTCAGTCTTGAGAGACTAGAGAAGCACATTAAGCATAATTGACCTAGGGCTGGCGCGGTGGCTCACGCCTGTAATCCCAGTACTTTGGGAGGCTGAGACGGGCGGATCACGAGGTCAGGAGATCAAGACCATCCTGGCTAATACGGTGAAACCCTGTCTCTACTAACCATACAAAAAATTAGCCTGGCGTGGTGGCGGACGCCTGTAGTCCCAGCAACTCGGGAGGCTGAGCCAGGAGAATGGCGTGAACCCGGGAGGTGGAGCTTGCAGTGAGCCGAAATTGCGCCACTGCACTCCAGCCTGGACGAAAGAGCAAGACTCCGTCTCAAGGGAAAAAAAAAAAAAGCATAATTGACCAATAACTAATATTAAGATTGACTGAAGTAGTAATTTATACCTGAGTATTTCTTCCAGACAAGCTACGTATATATGTGGTCTATTTATTTTATGTTGTTCTTACAGTTACTAGGTAAACAACCATGTTATCTTAATAAAGTTAAGATTTGAAAAAATAAATGACTACGTCCAGCATTGTAACATCCTCGTTTGGTCATCCATACTAAAGGACACCAATTTGTGGGGCCATCTGGACGCTAAGATGTCCACCTGGGAGCCGGGACCTGGAAAGGCGAAAGAAGATAGGAGGAAGATAGGAGGAGGAGGAGTTCCCTTTTGAACTTTTAAAATTTAGCCTAGCGAATGAAGGCAAAAAAGAAGTCTAAAGTCTTCCAAAAGTCTAAGCTGGGCTGTCCCACTGAGTATTCATTCATTCGTTCATTCATTCACTCATTCTTTCATTTATGTATTCATGCAACAAACATTGATTGAGCTTCTACAAAGTAGCAGACCGTGGGCTATCAAAGAGGAGTGAGACTCAGTCCTGCACTTAAGGCATTTTGCAGGAATGCGGGAGACAGATTTTAAAAATTCAAGCCCATGGTTACAACTGAGGGGCAGTGCCAAGATACTCGGAGGTTGTTCTAGAGGCATCTGTAGGTATCGTACGATGAATAAATGAGACTGTAGAAAGTAGATAGTATATTCTTCTTTTCTCTCTTTTCTCCCTTTCAAACTGTGAGACTAAAATTCAATTTATCTTTTCGTGGGCTGGAAACGGAAGAAAAATATCCAGGAATAACCATATTCCCAGATCAGTATACTGCGCTGCCCCGAAGGATGGAAAGAAACCTGGGAGAAAGACGCAGTGGAAACAGTGTGTGAGCCCTCCCTCTCGCACCCCTGTGTTTGGTACTCCAAAACAAAAAACTGCTCCTGCAAAATTACTTTAAATCAATTAGTAAGTAGAAGAAAAGAGAGATCCCAGGTGGATCGAGTATCCGACCATTCCTAAGGAGGGTTCCATGGTGTAATGGTTAGCACTCTGGACTCTGAATCCAGCGATCCGAGTTCAAATCTCGGTGGAACCTTTCATATTTCTCTCTTTTTGCCCTGTTTCCGGTAACTTGAGCGTGAACCTTGCTGCTTTCAATTTCACTTTCATCACTTTGATTTTTGATGGTGTCTGGCCGTGAGGAAAAACACGTAATCTGCAGTCCCAATAACCTATGAGCTCAGGGCCAGTATGTAATAATGGAGTCTGTATACATGTCTTTCTACCCCCACCTAGTTTGGTTTCCTCCCAGGACGCCTCTGGGTGAGTGCTCATGTAGTAAATGAATGCGCCTTTTAACGAACTGACCAAAGCAGAGCAAAACGTGATTCGCTATTAAACAGCGAACAAGACTGAAAAGGAAGAGGATAGACCTTATTGATAGTGTATCATTTTAGTTAGGATAGAAAAAATAGGGAGAATGAAAACACAGAAATGGCTGAGAAAGCAGAGTGAAGGGAGAATAAAACACATGTGTCAGAAGTGGGATTCGAACCCACGCCTCCATTGGAGACCAGAATCCTCAACACGAGGAAGCCAACCTTGAGTCTGGCGCCTTAGACCACTCGGCCATCCTGACACCTGGGACACTCCCGCTCGCAAATCAATATAATCTTCAATTGTAATGAATGTGCAACCAGCGTAAGTCATTACTACGTTCGCGGTTTAATGAAAGAAATGGAAAAGGAAATTCCTACAAGTTAACAAAACGTTCTGTCTAAATGGAATCAGGAACCGTAACTCAACTCGCTAGGCTTTCCTCCCAATTCAGGCTAGAATTCAGCGTTTCTCGCCCCTCGCCCCCTTCTACACTTCCCTGCACGTCCCGGGTACGGGGCGCAAGCAACCTAACAACCCAGCCGCGACTCTCCCCTGAACGAGAAAGAACACATAGCATGACAAGAAAAAACTCACATCCAGCGCAAGAAACAACATGTAGCACGGGGGCTGTTCCCGAGATGCTGCTTAGCAAACCAAAGAGCTCAGCAGGGAAGAAACAAGTGAGCCAATGTAGACCGGAAGTGAAGCAGGAGAGTTAGTGGAGACTGGGGGATGAATGGGGTCTTGAACATGAAGAATGACTGTCGATGTGAGTAACGAGAGTTAACTTCGTCAGGAGTTGAAAAAGGGTGAACTGCAGGGGTGCAAAACCAGATTAGCATGAAGGAAATGTCAGCACAGAGCCGAAATCCCCAGATCTCTTCCCTCACCACATTCCCAGAACTAGTCAAACAGGCTCATCTCCCCTCCCACTACCTCTCCCAGGAGGTTGAAGGAGTGTGTCAAGGGAAACTGAGATAAAGTTTTCCAGACATAAAGAAAGACAGATGAGATATCCAAGTCAGTTTACGAGGAAAAAATAAAAATTAAACCAACGACAAACACTGGTATTTCAGGGTCTCCCAAAGAAATGGCTGGGTCTCCATAGAATCCCCAAAGACTCTCCAGTCTACAGGCTTGGCCCAGCTCCACAGAGCTTCCAGAATCAGGTGTTTTGTGCCTTACTTAAAATATGTACGACAACCAAGGATAATCAGATGGTTGTGAAAACATTTCTACAATAAGACAAGGATGAATACCAACAGAAGGGGGCAGGAAAAACCTAAGAGGAAACAAATACAGTGGAGGAACCTGGATTTTTGTTTGTTTGTTTTTGATTTTGTTTTTGAGACAGACTCTCGCTCTGTCGCCCAGGCTGTAGTGCAGTGCCGCGATCTCAGCTCACTGCAAGCTCCGCCTCCCGGGCTCACGCCATTCTCCTGCCTCAGCCTCCCGAGTAGCTGGGACAACAGGCGCCCGCCACCACGCCCGGCTAATTTTTTGGTATTTTTAGTAGAGACGGGGTTTCACCATGTTAGCCAAGATGGTCTCGATCTCCTGACCTCGTGATTCACCCGCCTCGGCCTCCCAAAGTGCTGGGATAACAGGCGTGAGCCACCGCGCCGGCCGGAACCTGGATTTTTAAAAAATTACAATTAATCCTTGGGAAAGTAAGAGAAGATACGCTGCACTCATGAAACAAAAAGGAGGGGGGAGCTCTTAATATTATTAATAATATTATAATGGCCGGAGTTTTAAAATTTTCTTTTTTTTTTGTATTCTTGAGACGGAGTTTGGCTCTTATTGCCCGTACTAGAGTGCAATAGCGCAATCTCGGCTCACAGCAACCTCCGCCTCCCAGGTTCAACCGATTCTCCTGCCGCCAGAGTACCTGGGATGACAGGCATGCGCCACCACGCCCGGCTAGTTTTATGTTTTTAGTTAATACGGGGTTTCTCCATTTTGGTCAGGCTTATACTCTAAAGGCTTGTGCACTTTATGTATATTTTACTTCAATAAATTAACAATATGAGACAGTTTATAATTTAATGTCAATTAAATGCTCTACAGCATAAACTCTAAAAATGTTTGATATAGTTTGGATATTTGTCCCCACTCAAATTGGATATTTGTCTCATATTGAGATGTAATCCCCAATATTGGAGGTGGTGTCTGGTGGGGCCTCCTTCCTCCATTCTCGCCAGGCGACGTACCTGCTCCCCCTTTGTCTTCCGCTATGATTGGAAGTTTCCTAGGCCAGGCGCAGTGGCTCAAGCTTGTAATCCCAGCACTTTGGGAGGCTGAGGCAGGTGGATCACTTGAGGTCAGGAGTTTGAGACCAGTCTGATCAACATGGTGAAACCGGTCTCTACTAAAAAATACAAAATTAGCCAGGTGTGGTGTGAGCCAAGACAGCGCCATTGCACTCTAGCCTGCGCAACAAGAGCGAAACCCCGTCTCGAAAAAAAAAAAAAAACACCCAGAAGTTTCCCAAGGCCTCTGCAGAAGCAGCTGCCACTATGCTTCCTGTACAACCCGCAGAATCATGAACCAATTAACACTCTTTTCTTATAAATTACGCAGTCTCAGGTGTTTCTCTTTGTTTTGTTTTGAGACGGAGTCTCTCTCTGTTGCCAAGGCTGGAGTACAGTGACACAATCTCGGCTCACTGCAACCTCCGCCTCCCAGGTTCCAGCGATTCTCCTGCCTTAGCTTCCCAAGTAGCTGGGATTACAGGCATGTGCCACCACACACGGCTAACTTTTTATATTTTTAGTAGAGACGGCGTTTCACTACGTTGGCCACGCTGGTCTCAAACTCCTGACCTCAAGTGATCCGCCCACCTCAGCCTCCCAAAGTGCTGGGATTACAGGCGTGAGCCACCGCACCCGGCCCTCAGATATTTCTTTATAGCAGTGCAGGCACAGCCTAATACAATGTTAAAAAGGGAAAAATTGCTGTGACCTGGGAAGATGGGAAAAGCTTTATGAGAGGCTGATCTGGAGGGAGTGGTCATATGGAAGGAAAGCAGAGGCACCTGCTTATTCAAGGAGTTTAGCCCAGAAAGGGAAGATAAATAGTTCCAGAGCTCACAAAAGCATTGAAATCTTCCTCAGGCCCAACATGTCTAGGTCCTTCAATTATTTCTCCCTTGCAGTTAGGGATGCCATTCCCACCCACTGTGTTATTCTTTCTCATAGCATCCTGTCTCGTCCTTCATAGCACTTGTCACAATTAGTAACCACATATTGATTTGATTAATAACTGAATGCCAGTCTTTGTTCTGATTATTTCATACTGTATAACAAACTGCGCAACAGGTAGGGCTCACTGGGATGATTTTTCTGTTACACCTGGCACTGACTAGTGACTCAGAATGTATCCATTTGGCAATTGGGCTGCTCTTCATTGACAATCCTCATGCTTTTGTCAGGGAATGGCTGGAAGCATGGCCTCAGTGAGCTCACTCCCCTTTTATGGAGTTGCATAGTAGAGCAGTTGGATATCATTATGGACCAAGTTGTGTCCACTCAGCCCACCACATACACACAGCTCCCAACTCATGTTTTGGAATTTTAACCCCCAATGTGACTATATTTGAAGACAATTTTTTTTTTTTCTTCAGAGTTTTGCTCTGTTGCCCAGGAGTGCAGTGGCACAATCTTGGCTCGCTGCAACCTCCGCCTCCTGGGTTCAAGTGATTCTCCTGTCTCAGCCTCCTGAGTAGCTGGGATTACAGGTACCTGCCACCACACCCGGCTAATTTTTGTATTTTTAGTAGAGACAGACTTTTGCCATGTTGGCCAAGCTGGTCTTGAACTCCTAGCCCCAAGTGATACACCTGCCTCAGCCTCCCAAGAAACTGGGATTACAGGCATGTGCCACCACACCCAACTAATTTTGTATTTTGTATTTTTAGTAGAGACGTGGTTTCTCCATGTTGGTTAGGCTAGTCTTGAACCCCTGACCTCAGGTGATCTGCCTGCCTCGGCCTCCCAAAGTGCTGGGATTGCAGGTGTGAGCCACCGCGCCCGCCCATTTTTTTTTTTTTTTTTTTTTTTTTTTTTAATACGAGGATCTCACTGTGTCCCACAGGCTGGAGTGCAGTGGTGTGATCATAGCTCACTGCAGTCTCCAACTCCTGGGCTCAGGCAATCCTCCCACCTTAGCGTCCCAAGTAGCTGGAACTACAGGCATGTGCCATGATACCCAACTTACATATCTTGGTGATCCAATGTCATGTGCATATGAGATGTCTCTAAGATACTGACTATCTTGGAGACAGCTACCATCCCTGCCTCCATCTAGCCCCCAGTGGCCTGTCAGCTCCATAAGGGCAGGAATCTTGTCTAGTGCATTTACCAGGTATAGTCTGCTTATATTCAAATGCCTGTGTCAAAATCAAGGAAATCCTCAACCCCTTGCTGTTTGAAAGAATGGGTCAGATTAGCTTTCCCTCCCACTGTCTTCAAAAATTTTATCCCCAGGAAATAGAATATAGTTAAATGTTGGGAAGCACACAACCAGTTCAAAAATAAATGATATTTAAACGACTAATGACAATTACATTTTTCAGTGGGTCTTGATGCATAGACTAGTGAGCATTATCTCAGTTCCCTTGCCATAGTAATTGGTTCAGGAATAGGTAGTGTAACCAAACTTAAGCCAGTTGGCATATGAATTTCTCTGTCCACAGGATTAATCCAATCAATAAGAGCAAAATATAAGGCTTTGCTGGCTGGGAAAGACAAGTCATTGATGTTGTGATTGCAGAATTTTTTAAAATTTATTTTGACATAATTGTAGATTCACATACAGTTATAGGATATAATTAAGATCCAGTGGCTGGGGGCAGTGGCTCGCTCCTGTAATCCTTGCACTTTGGGAGGCAGAGGAGGGAAGATTGCTTGAGGCCAGGAGTTCAAGATCAGCCTGACCAACATGGCAAAACCCCGTTTCTACTAAAAATACAAAAATTAGCTGGGCATGGTGACACAAAGCCTGTAATCCCAGCTACTTGGGAGGCTGAGGCATGAGAATTGCTTGAACCCAGGAGGTGGAGGTTACAGTGAGCTAAGATCACGCCACTGCACTCTTGCCTGGGTGACAGAGCAAGACTCTGTCTCCAAAAAAAATAAAATAAAATAAAAATAAAGATCCAGCATACTCTTCACTCAGTTTCTCCCAATGGTAACATCTTGCATAAATGTAGTACAATATCACACCAGGAAATTATTATTGATAAAATCCACCAATCTTACTCAGATTTCACCATTTTTACATACACCATGTGTTCGTGTGTGTTTAGTTCTATGCAATTTTATTGCATGTGTAAATATCACATAGGAACAACAAACATTACAGTCAAGATACAAAACTGTTCCATCACAAGGATCCCTCAGGGTACTCTTTTATAGCCACGGACACCTCCTTCCCTTCTCTTTCCCTAATGCCTAGCAACTACTCATCTGTTCTCTATCTCTATAATTTTGTCATTTCAAGAATGTTATGGGCTGGCCACAGTGGCTCACTCCTGTAATCCCAGCACTTTGGGAAGCTGAGGCGGGTGGATCATTTGAGGTTAAGAGTTGGACACTAGCCTGGCCAACATGGTGAAAACCTGTGTTTACTAAAAATACCAAAAAAAAATTAGCTGGG